CTGGACCACATCTTTTTTGAGTGTTTAAAATATAATGGTCAATCTAATGAGCTTACTGCAATACTGCATCTTCTTGCTTTGGACAGAAAAGAAATTTACGTTTGTTTGCTGTCTTTCGACAGAACAACGAATATACAAATATAACCACCTTTGTTGATACCTGATGCCTTTCCTTAATGTAATGTATAGGCCATTTAAATTGTTTGAAAAGATAAAAGTTAAAAATTATCAGTATTAAGAGTTGAAGTAAAAGAAAATATAAATGATTAATTCGACAATATCGATTAACAATACAAAAGAGAAAATAATGAAATTTGGAAATGTAATATTACGAAATAGTTTGCAAGACTCATAATAAATAAATATTTCGTTTTGTTGTTCTCTAAGAAACAATTAATATCATTTAAAACATGTAATATACACACTAGTCAATAAGGAGTGAATATTTTAAAACATATGTATACACATAGGTAGATATACTTTTTGGTCGGTTAACCAAGTAGTACTAGTGAAATTAATTAATGAACTACTTAGTTCTTGTCATTTAGGTACTTTCAAAACCATGGTTAAACATCTATTATTTATGATATACCTACTGTTTTCGAATAAATTTATATTAAACGTCTGGTGGTCATAATTAATTAGTGGTTAGGATGTAGACTTTTAGGAAATAACAATTTCTCTGATTATTTAATTACAGAGCCGTACTTGCACTATTCAGTTTGAAAGGAACTAAATTTCAGAGAATTTTTTTATCGATACTTAAAATATCTATATTACAAACAACAGACAAACACTTAGAACAAACAACAACTTGGGCAAATATATTAAAAACAACAAGAGCCAAAATAAAAAACACTTACACAGAGGTGTGTACAAACTTAAATGTGGCGACTGAAAAAAACTTACATCGGTCAAACTGGTAGAAACTTTAACAAACGAATAGCAGAACATAAAAGGGCTTTCAACAATAGAAAAACAGATTCTATATACGCACTTCACCATTTAAGATCTAATCTAGATCATAATCATTCATTTAATGACGAATTTCAAATTCTTCACATCCAAGAGTTTATTTAATAGATTGCAAAGAAAGAAAGAAGTTGTGAATGAAAGTGTTTGTTTCACGGGAGTTCTGAATAGACTAAAGATAGCGGTGTTCGAGATACACTGTAAGTTATTTGCTTTCCTTTTTTTTTTGAGAACGAAAAATTGTTTTTTATCAGTTGCCAACGATACCGATATGTAAAAGAATCCATTCCAAGTTAGGTTTATATTTTCGTACTGTATTTGGTTTAATGCTGATTAGATAAGTAGTGGACTTGAAAGGTAAGGCTGTATGTTATTTAAGACAGCTATACATAATGGAAATCCGTAATAATTACAATGTTTTTGATATTATTTATACCACACAATTTATAACATTGAGGATTGCAGTTAATTCGGCTGTCCAAATAGATGCTAATATAAGGAATTTTCATTAATGCTGTTTGTTGAAAAATCTATTAATGTAACTTTTAATTGGTTCATGTCTTTATTATGTTTTTTCACATGACTTTTTTTTTGTTTACTGACAGTAATGAGCATAAATATCGAGAGCATTACTACAGCCAAATAAGACATCTTATCAGAATTCTGCAAGAACACGAAATGTGAGGTATGGTTTATCCAGGAAACCCACAGAGACCTAACTGCAGCGAGACCGAATGTCTCCGGTATGAAACTGATTGCAGAGATACCACACAATAAGCATGGGAGCACGGTATTTATGAGAACTTAAACCATATTCTCATCTGTGGGAACAACAAATGTTCACGGTATAGAGATAATAACCACTGAGATAGGAACATGCACAATTACCTCGGTATACAAGCCCCCAAACCAGCCTTTTATATTTATACCCACAACTAACTTCCAATCACAACCCAATCAGCTTATAATGGGAGACTTTAGCAGTCACAGTTTACTCTGGGGCTCTGCAGAAGCTAAACTTTCACCATTTTTTCAGAGCAAAGTTTGGAAAAGAAGATATCATCCGGATATCTGTTTTGCAAGTAATAACCTCGAAGATCGATTTACCAAAGTAGTATATGGCCCCATACCAAAAACTCAGCATATACCACTTGGTATAAATAGATTTCCAATTGTCAGACCACAAGTTATTCCATTCAGAAAGAGATTTAGCTTCAAAAAGGCAAACTGGCAAAAGTATGCAAACATGATAGATTTTGAGCTGCTATGTCTTGAACCAAAAGTAGAGGACTACGAAAAATTTGTAGAGGTACTCAAAAATGTGTCTAGAAAAGCTATCCTCAGAGGATGTAGGCAACAATATATTCCCGGGATGTCCAGCGAGTCCAAAGAACTAATAAGAACATACGAAACCCTCTAGTCCATTAACCCTTTTAGCCTAGAAATGATTGACTGCGGAGCAGTACTACTCCAACAGCTAAGTCAAGCCAGACAGGAAAAGTGGATTGAGACCCTAAAAAAATGGACATGACATAGTAGCAAAATAGCATAGAACATGTAAAAAAACATAGCGGTGATCCAAAATAACATAAACCACCTTGCAAGGTTATAGCAAACCAAGTCGCTACTCAACTCCTTATGAATGGAAGACTACGAACCGATATAAGGACCCAAACACCAGAAGAAGATTGAATTCGGAGACAAACCACCTAGTAACTCCTTTTACACTAAAAGAACTCCACGACGGTAGAAACAGGTTAAAAAACGGGAAAGCTGCAGGTGTGGATGATGTATGCAGTGAACAAATTAGACACCTAGACCAATGAGCAAAAAACTGGATCTTGCAACTTTATAACAAGCGCTACAAAGCTTGTGAAATTCCAAAATCATAGAGGAAATTTAGAGTAATAGACTTGTTAAAACCAGGAAAGGGCCCAAAAAATCCCAGTCACTACAGACCTATTTCGCTGGTATGTCACTTGTTTAACTATACGAGAGATTCATACTCGCCAAAATAGAAAAAAATGTCGACAAGCACCCCATTACACAACAAGGAGGATTCAGACCCGGCTAATCTTGCACCGGTCAAGTACTCGCACTAACAGGACACTTGAAGAGGGCTTTAAAGAAAAGCTTAGAGGACTGCTTTCGTAATTTTGACAGCAGCCTATGGCACAGTAAGGCACAAAACATTGCTCCGCAAATTATACGACACTCTCAATGACCACCTTCTGGGTAAGGTCGTATATTTCTCACTACAAAACAGACGTTTTTTCGTTATACTGGAGTGTAAAGTAAGTAGGGGGAGAGTTAAAAAAACGGCCTCCCACAGGGAAGTGTTTTAGCACCAATGCTCTTCAATATATACACAAACGACCAACCTACACCAACCGAAACCAAGCACTTCCCCTATGCTGACGATCTTGCAATATGTGCTCAAGAAAATAGTTTTGAAGAAGTAGAGGAGGAACTCGAAACTGCCTTAAAAACAATGACAGCGTACTACCTGCAGAATTCTTTAAAACTCAATCCCTCTAAAACTCGAGTCTGCGCTTATCACCTTCGCGCAAAGAAAGGCAAGCCTATATATATCTTGGAGTAACTCTGGACCGGTCCCCCACCTACATACAACATTGCCACGTCCTGGCGTTTTAAGAACACCGGCACAGGCACTGTGTTTCTCAACTGCTGAATATGCATGCCCCGTTTGGGGCAGATTTGAACACACCAAAGAAGTTGATACTATGCTAAATGAGACATACAGGATAGTAACGGGGTGCATGAAACCAACGCCACTCTCAAATCTATATAAAGCAGCGAATTTCGCAGAACCCTCAACACGCAGTGGCGTTCAGAGTACATTGAGAAGATTAAACAGATCGCAGCCGAGCGTTAGGCCCTATAGAAAGCTCGGACACCACGAAAGCGACTAAAATTCAGGAAAACCTTACTTAGTACAGTGCAGGATGAACCGCCTGTTAGAGTATTTTCCTCTTCCCCAGGTTTAATGGACCGGCCAGTCCCAAGACTTAAAAAACGTGGAAGACTGTGCTTAGAATAAGAACGGCGCTCACTCCAGTAAAATCAAACATGACAAACTGGGGAAAAATACCAATATGATGTGAACTATGACTGTGGAGAAACACAGAATATGGAACATCTTCTTACATGCAGAAACTGTTCTCATCGATGTACGCTCGAAAACTTGTGGCTCGCCAACAAAGATGAAGCCCGATACTGGGTCGAAATTTTATAAATGTACGGACACGATAAAGTAAGAAAGAATTATGTTTATTGACGATATCTTTAATATACAAAAATGTATCCTTCTTTTGAATAATAAATATATTTTTTTATAAAAACAGGTAACACCACTGTTGAAATTATAAGGAGATTCGGAAGTAAGTATTTAGATTAAGATCAATGATTTTGGACAAAGTAGTGCAAAAACGCAGCTAATTAATTAAATTAACAGAAAGTGCATATCATTTTAACAGGAGTTGGCCGTCTGGCACATTTAGTAGACCTCAAACAATATGTATATATTAAATTACGCTGTTTTCTCTTGTATTGCGATAATATCAAAATGTTTCAACTCTTAAACTTAGTATTTTAAAATATATTTTAGTAGTGAAAGTGAAAATTATAATACATTATTTGTCATTAATATTTAAATGGGAATAAGCCACAATTAAAGGTTAAAGTACGTTTATTGACGTTTCAGTTTCCACTTCGAAAATCGTTCTAAAAATACAAACATTAGTTTGTATTTTGAGAACGACTTCCGAGGATAACTTTGTTTAGTTAATAAAAGAGACAAAGCTGAAGAAGAAAAAAAAAGAAAGTTTAATGTATTACCGAAACCTGAATATATTTCATTTTGGATATTATATTCAATGCCATTTCCATAAGAAATTTACCTAACTTTTATAATAATTAAAGATATCTAAAGTTAAGTAATCAAACATCCTTCTATCCATTAATTTCTATCACAGTTTTAAAATAATAATTCCACTTAATATACTCACATAAAGCAGACATACTGCGGCACATCCCTTTCAAAATATCTGACGGTTTTAAAGTCGGTTCCTCGACGACCTCCACGATTTCAGCTCCTCTTGGCTCGTCGTCGGGATCGAAGCGCATAGCATTTGGTGGTGGAGGTGGTGGAGGCGGAACGGATGTTTCCAGTGGAACTGAAGTCACTCTTTTCAAAATTTTGGTATTACTGGTGGCATTATTGGTTTTGGGAGGAAGTGAGTGGCGTGGTCCGAGCTTCACTTTTTCCGGCTCATCTTCAGAGCTTAGTGGCGAAGTTCCTGAAGAGAGGCCTGACTCCTAAAACAAATAAAACAAATAATCATTATCATCTGCATCATCTATACCCTTTTTTATCTATCATTATATTATCAAACGTAATTTATTGGTAAAAAATTAGTAAATCATGCAATATATTATCTTGTACCCATTTTACATTTAGACAGCCTTGAAAAATTCTATGTAAACAAGTAAAAGTCTTGTGGTGATGGGTGGAAAAATAGTCAACGATTTTTTCTCGAAGAAGAGATCATTATGTTCAATTTTTTTGTGCTCATAACTCAAAACGTGGAAAATTTAAGTTACTACAGTCTTCGTTGGACCAGACGATATCTTCGCATCTGATATAATGAAACTTCGTTTTTGAGGCCGCAATATCAAATACAGCAATGTTTTGTTATGTTAATCTATTCATACTAACATTTATTTTGTTAATCATAGCTTCCTTTGTTAGTCATAATATGGCATCATCTATTAGTTATATTGCGATTTAAAATGGCAGTAAAAACTATTTTAAAGGTCTTTGCGTACAATTTTTTAAGAATTATGTTCTACACGAACCTTCTCCTAATAATAACAAACAAAATAAAAAATGAATTATCTAATTTGGTGCAATCGTTTTGAAGTGATGCTCGTACAAACATTTTAGCGATTCATTTTTATTAATACAGTGTGACGCTCAAAGAGTGACATACTACAACTATCTCGGCACCATAAACAATGAAGAATGGACCAACAACCAGGAGATTAGAGCACGCATCGCATCGGAAAAGCTAGATCCAGCTTTAATCGGATGGAAGCCTTCTCTTGATACAAAAGTAAGAATGCTGCGACACTACGTCTTCTATATCCTTTTTTATGGTGTTGAATCGTAGATATTCAACGAAGATATGTACAGAAAACTGAAAGTATTTGAGATGTGGCTATATCGGAGAAATATAGGTCACAGATCCTCCCCATTTGTGAGGTATATACCTCACAAATGGGGAGGTCCTCAGAATAATGAATAAGAACCGAGAGGTACTGACCACCATAAAATCTCAAAATTTTCAATTCTTCGGACATATTATGCAAAATGAATCCAGATATGCTCTCCTTCAAGCCATCCTGCAAGGAAAAATATTTGAAAAGCGAGGTCCAGGAAGAAGAAAAACATCTTGGTTAAACAACCACAGAATCTGTGTAAGTACAACATTTTGCAGCTTTTCCGCGCTGCTGTAGATAAGATAAAGATTGCAATGATGATCGCCAACATTTGTAACGGATAGGCACATCAAAAGAAGATTGTCTTCCAGCCGAGGTGTAAAACATGACGAGGCCATGGGCGACCCGTGCATTTATTTTTCTAGCTCAGCGCATATTGAAGCCAACCGTGGGCTGTCGCCGTGGCTAGTTGCTAAAATGACTTCAATCGAGAAGCATTTGTTAATCAATTTACTAGACTCTGAATCGGAAGATAAAGACTATGATTATGTGTAATTTAACTGAAAATAAAAAAAGAAGAAAGAAAGAAAGAACAATCAGTACTTAAAAAAAAGAGAAGGCCATGGATAGTTTAAGTTATCTACAGAAGTTCCAGAAAACGTTTTTAAGGAATCTTGTATGATCGGCGTGTGCATGAGCTGGTCGTAGAGTAGGCTGGGTTCAATATACGCCAGGCCTAAATCATGTTCTAGGCCTGCCTCTTCTCCTCACTTCATCCGGTCTTTGGTTATTAATGTGTTTCTACAGCTCTATCTCGTTCATTCTCTTTAAGTGATCTAGCCACCGCAGCCTGTTCTGTTTTCCTGCAGGCCTTTATAAATATGTCTGAAGATCTAACATTTAAAATTCTAAATATTATTAAAGTAAAAAGTGCTGAATTTGTAGTTTATAGCTTCATATCAAACTTTATTAAAAGGTTGGTTTTTTATGGTTAGACAGTTTCGAACGATTCTCTATTATGTTCGTTATTCAATTAGTCAATACCTGCATTAGTAAGTTAAAAGGTCTTTTGATTTATATTGATAGATTTATCTTAAATATTATTTGCTGATATTATTTTTATACATGTATTTAATAATATTTATTATTTTTGTACTTACATTTGCTACTATCTTTTCCTTGCCACTCTCTTTTTGGTATATCTCCTCAGCTTTGCCAATTGCACCTCGATGGTCGTTATTGTTGTTATCTGTAGTCAAATGAACTACAACGTGACCTCCAGAATTGGACGACGTTACAGATCCAGATCTACTATGCGAGCCAGAGTCTCTTGAACGGGATCGGTTTTTATTTCTTTCTAAAGCTTTGTTTTCTTCTCTGATCATATAAATGTCTTCGTAATCGTGTTCGTGGTCCCCTGATCGTTCCGACATATCTGAAGAAGATAGATTTTCATCTGATCCAGCACCACTGCTGCTTGAATGGACTTCTACTTTTACTGAAAAGAAAAAAAAAACATTTGTATTTCTCTGTTATATATTGAAATTAGGTATCTACCAGACTACTTGTAAGCATCAAGTTATGCTTATTTTTACTTTACGAAAAAAGGTAGCTATACTGCTTTCAAGTGTTTTGCGTTAATTTTGATTTAAAATATAGAGCCATTAACCAAAAATCCTCACTGAAATAGGTCATGAAATAAGCTGAACTAAATTAGCAATTAGTTAATAATACTAATTGAAATCAAAATGAAATAAACAATCTGGACTTTTTCTAAAAAGAAGTACTTGGTGAAGCTATGCTACTAGTTCATCAGATCATTAGATTACATTTAAAATAGGAAAAGTTAATACTCAAAGTATAGAAAGGTAAGAAAGCCTTTAGGAAATGTGTTACTGTTCTATCGATTTTCTGTAAAGTATGATGGATTTGAATGTGGTTTGTTTTCAATTCAATTCGTAAAACTTTCTACAAACTTCCTAGTCGTATTTAATCAAGAAGAAATGAAGACTTGCATTTTTGTTGTATATTATCTTATAAAATGCATTTTTAAGTATGTGAATGATTAAAAATGTTAAAACAATTATAATTGAACGAATATTAATAAAAATTTGTCTAATTTTGTATCTCCGAATATTTATGATGTTGTTGATCACGAATAACACCAAGAAGAGCTTCCGGAGTACCTCATGCCTGGTAATGGTATTATAAATGTCTTTGAGTGTTGAGCAAATCGGTTTTCAAAGTGGGTCTTACAGTCTCTGCCGCATCCTTCATTTCATCTTCACCTTTTTCGGTTTTCCTGTCCTTCTTCTTCAAACATCATAGTTTAAATCCTGTTTTGGCCATCATTCGTCTTTCATTTGCATTATATGCTCATATCATAAAAGTTGTTTGGATTCTATTGTATCTACATTATTGTAAATCCTTCTTCTTCTTCTTCTTCTTATTTATTCATTTGGGATGTGGTCAAGTCTGGATATCGACATGCTTTTCTAAGATAGTCCGATGCCAAGTTCCAATCTTTTGGAATATTTTCTTGTTCGATTAGACATTTATTAAAGATCTTCGCCTACAATCCTATTAGTATTAACATTCCGACTTTTATTAATTCAATGGGGATATTTCTAGGTTTTTTGGTTTTTCCTTTTTAAATTTCCTTAAAGGTTCGTCTTATCTCGTTTACACTGATTGGTTGTCTTCGTCTACTGAATATGTTCTTATTTTGCAATGTGGTCTTGCTTCCGTTAACAGAGATTTGTAATATTCTTCCACTTTGATGTTTAATCTATATAATATCTATGATGTTTAATCTCCCTATTCCTTTGTGATCTTTTATGAGATTTCCTATAAACTTCCATGCTTCAGATAATCCTGTTCCGCCCATTTATCTGTCTTCTTCACATTCTTTGCACCACGTTTCGTTTTTTTTGTCACAGTTTTCTTAACTTCCCTTTAACAGTAAGTGTATGTTCTTCAGTCTTCTAGATGTTTGTAGCCTGATTTATTTGAGAGTATAGTTCTTCCACCGTCCTGTTTTCTTTTCTAACATTTTGTAGTTTTGTAGCCAATAGTCAAAAATTGTAGCCATTTTTTAGACTTTCCAAATTATATTTATTAACATTAATATTTCCGGGCATTGTTTATTCATATTGATAGTCGCTGTTTTTTTTTCAGTATTTAACTAATACCTTACTGATAAGATTGGTTAATAGGCGAGCGGTTTACCCCTATAAGCAGAGCATCAACCGACTAAAATTCTTTTTGCATTTCTAATGCACCAAACCTTTTTTATTCGATTCTATATTCTATAAATGAATTGCAATTTTACAAATAGCTTTATAATCTTTAAACCGTCGAGTACAAGTTAGAATATTTTGACAATGATAAATGGTTTCTATCTCGCTAAAAATGTGGACCTAAATATTTCGAATATGCATTTCGAGGGTATCCCGCTATACAGTGGTTGAGGTGTTGTAGGCGCTCGAATCTTTTCGATTTTTTTAATTATTTTGAAGGCGAAACTAGTTTAGATATTTTAGAAAAGTATTTCTGCTCATGTACCGGAAAATGTTCTACGAAAAATTGTAATTGTATTTCCTATAATTTAGAATGCTGCGCAGTATGTGCATGTACACCAGAGAATTGTAAAAATGTTAAAGATGATTCTATTGAAGACAATGAAGTCATCTTATTAGATGGAAATCCTGTTGCTGTTGACGAAAATTTTCAAATTATTGACAATGAAAACAATGTATAATTAATATTATATTTTTATTTTATTATATTTTTCAATGAAAATTAATTATATATTGCTTAATGTATTTCACTGTAATAAAACATTCAATAATATAGTCACCACGTATATTAAAAGAAAAATTACATTATTATAGCATTGTAAAAAATTAATTTTAATTGTTTTAATTATAATATGTCTATCTAAAAATAATTAGAAATATTTTTTTTTTAATAAATTGTACGTAATATTTGTATTGAATTAATATTTTAAATTTAAACAAATATTTCTACGCGCCGCACGCCTGTATCGCCTCAACCGCTGTACACACTTAGCGGTAGACTGCTCGAAAGGCATATTTGAAATATTTGGGTCCACGTTTTTAACAAGATAGAAAAAAATTATCCTTGTCAAAATATTCTAACTTGTACTTGACGGTATAAAGATTATAAAGCTATTTGTAAAATTACAATTCATTTAGTAGTTTTTCAGAAAAAAAAATCCCAAAAATCACTAATTAAGCCATTTTTTCAACAAAAAAATGCAAATAACTCGAAAAGGAAGCATTTTTCGAAAAATTATCAAGAAAGAAAAAGTGTTTATTTTGATGAGATACACCCAAAAAAATTTATTCCGAAACAATTCGGTGAAATTGCTTTTTTGTATAAGTTATTTGTTAATAACAATTGCCGGCCCACTTGTAAAAATAAATTTCATCTTGAAAAAATATATAGAATCGAATAAAAAAGGTTTGGTGCATTAGACATGGAAAAAGAATTTTAGTCGGTATATTCTGTTTCTAAGCGTCTTTTGAGGGGTAAACCGCTCGCCTATAAGGCTACAATGCGTAAAGTTGTTTACAAAGTCGAAATACAGGGCGAACAATCACAGGCATTTGAAACGCATGTTGGGCTGCGACAGGAAGATGTGCTGGCGTGTCTCCTTTTCAACAAAGCTCTGGAAAAGGCGGTCAGAGATGACCAAATAGACAACAGAGGAAATATTTTGATTAAATCATCCCAAATTTTGGCATATGCAGATGATGTTGACCTAGTTTCCCGCACAACACGCAAACCAGAAGAAATGTATACCACCTTGTCAAATGCCTCAAAAAATATGGGCCTGCAAGTAAATAAGGAGAAAACTAAGATAATGGTATCAATACCCAACAATAGAGTCAGAAATATCGGCCACCAATTCACTGTTGATAACTCTACCTTTGAAGTGGTGGACAAATTCACATACTTAGGCTCCCTGATCACCAAGGAGAACGTAATGACGGAATAAATCAAGCGAAGAATAATCCTAGCAAACTAATGCTATTTTGGATTGAGTAGATATATGAAAAACAGAAACTTATGTCAAAAAACAAAATAACCATATATAAAACCCTTATACAACTAGTGTTGACATATGGATCGGAGACATGAACCATTTCCATTGCAGATGAAACCCTCCTGCTTATATTTGAACGAAGGATCCTAAGAAGAATATTCGGGGGCATCTGTGAAAATGGTGTTTGAAGAAGGAGGTAAAACTACGAGATATAAATATATATTTGGTGGTAAATACGTAGTATCTCTTATAAAAATACGAAGACTAAGATGGGCAGGACATCTGTCAAGATCACAGCAGATCAACTCTCCTAGAAGAATCCTTATGTCATAATCTGTAGGAAGTAGAAGTAGGGGTAGGTGAAAACTCAGATGAAGGGATGGTGTAGATGAGGATGGTAGAAAAATAGGTGCAGCAAACTGGCAAAAGTTGGCTATGGATAGAACTGTGGCGTAATAGACTTGGGAAGGTCGAGGCTATTTTATAGGGCTATAGCACCAATGATGATGATAACTAATACCTTAGACTTAGTTAACTGATGATCCGATCCACACTCGGCTCCGATACACACTTACGTCCAAAACTTTTAAATTTGCTTGTTGGGCATGATGACACTATTAATAATTGGCCTTAGCTCTCTTGTTGTCTATGTCCATGTTTATTTGCGTATGTCTTTATGAGCTTAGAATTCATTTGTCACTTTTAACGATAAGCTCTCGCATAAGCCAATACGTCGCAAATCGGTTTAGGTAAAATAGCCTCTCCATATTTTACAATAATCTGACCATTGTCCCTTATTCCTACTACGGCATTTAAATCTCCCAGAATGAATACTTCCTCGTTTCTCGTAATTCCTTCTAATATACTCTATGGTTTTAATTATCGTAATTTTTTTTTATTTCTTGTTGCAGGCATAGCGAAAGAACCTTTGGAACATTTTATAGACTATTGGTTTAAATCTTGGTTTAAATGTTAGTACTTATATAAACGAAAATACGATTTGGAAAATAACACTTATATAAAGATCAAATTTAAATTATAAATTTTAAATTAAAACTATAATCAAGACATTTCATCGTTCAAAGTAAGAAACTAGTAGACATATCTACTTCATACATTATAACTTAGGTGTTCCACTGTAAATAGGGAAAAGTTAAAGTAACAAAAAATTGTTCACCTTCAATTAACGCCATCACTTTCATTAAACCTCAAAGACTTTGGCTTTGAAATCACTCAATTAAAATAGGTAAGTAGGCACCGAAAACGAATTCATATCACTTTCATTATTCATCTTCTTTTGTTTAGCGGTCACTTTCAATTGTTGTAATGGTTCGTGAATTCAATAAACGAAATTGTCCACTAAAAAAGCGTTTTCGCTATATACTCACAAAAAATTAAAATAAGTTAAAAATAACTATAACAGCAAA